AACAAACTAAGGGTAAATTGCTATTGCAATTTGCTAGAAGTGGTTAAGGCTATTAAGTTGTACTTGAATCAAGAAGAACAGGCTGAGTTTAGAAGAACTGTGTTTGGGTGGATTATGGATGCGGATTCTATATCCTGGATAAGTGGGCAGCTGTTATTGGGGCTGATAGGGAATCATGTTGAAGAGATAAATCACAGAACAGAAACTGAGAAGATCACTTTCAATATCAGAAATAGTTTAGTTTCATTTACAAAACAGGACTTTGCACTAGTCACATCATTCAAGATGGATGGAGTTGAGAAAAAGATAAAAAAAGATGTGCAGGGGGATTTGTGGAAGAGGTACTTCAGTGGGAAGACATATGTATCGCGTCAAAACATCACAGATGCTTTGATTGCATACAACCGCGATGATGAGGCAACTGTTGAGGGTGATGGTGTCAAATTAGCTCTGTTGTATTTGCTAGGAAATGCATTATTTGGAAACCAGAATAAAGTAGCACTGCCTTCGTACTATGTGAATCTGTTAGATGATATGGAAGCTTTCAATAGCTATCCATGGGGAAGAGAGATCTGGGATGATTTGGTCAACAATGCAGGAAAAAGTGCTGAGTTACTGACTACAAGTTCTTCAGACCGTGTCACATTTCCTGGGTTTATGTTTGCCATACAAGTATGGGCCTTTGAAACTCTTACAGGACTGAACAAAGCTGGTATTTGCGTCTTCAAAGAAGATCAACAGAATGCTATTCCTCGGACCCTGAAATGGAGTTTTAACAAAAAGCCAAGTCTGCAACTTCTGTGCAAGTTGATATTCCATAACAATGAGGTATCAATTGAAATATTTTCAATGTACATAATTGGTTTTAATATATAAATATATTGATAACATGTCTTTCTTTTATGCAGTTTGAATATAAACCAATGGAACCAACAGTTCAAGAGATGGAAATACCAGAGTTGGCATTACTGTTCCAAGACTTCGAAAGAGAACGTTGGCAGTATGATGGAGGAATAGACTGTAGTGAACAGATAGAAACTGCAGAGAATGACAAAGGTGAAGATTGCAATCAGAAAGAGGTTGAAAATGGAAGTGGAAAGGTGGAGAAAAAGAAGAAGGCAAGGTCCAGAAAGGGTGTTGCTGCTGTTAAAAGAAAGTGCACTAGGGAAAGCAATGATGATGAAGATGACTCATTATTGCAGAGTCTTGTTAAGAAGACTGACATGATGATGGCAGAAATGGCAAGGATAAAAAATATCCAGAGAACACATGGGTCTTTGTTGAGAAAGATACTGACAAGGTTGGAAGGTACACATGTAGTCACAGATGAAGCTAAGGAGGTCAGCCAAGGAGACAAATGCGATGAAGGTGGCAACATTGAAATTGATGAAAATGCCATTGAGAAGGATGATATTGGAGAGATGGATGCAGATAAAGGGGATCATATAGAGACAGTGCCGGAGGAGGTTGATGATGCTGAAGAGTTGGTGAAGAATGATGAAAATAAAAGTTCTAATGAAAAGAAAGCAATGGCAGAGGAAGATGGCACCGTTGTTGAAAAGGAGAATGCTGAAGTGTCTGAGAATGAGATAGATTCTCAAAGACCATCGTTCAATATATTTGGTTTTTCTTCGCAGGAAGAAGAGCTTGTGAAAAAAACTGATGAGCCAGTTGTTGATGAGCCAGTTGTTGATGGCACAAGTGAGAAGATGCATGTTGGCAATGATACTGGAAAAGAGGACTGGAGAAAATTGAATGATGATGACACAGATTATGATGAGGATGAGTTGCTCAAAGTGGATGAGCTAATTAACAAAACCATACAAAAGAGAAAAGAGAAGTCAACCGAAACAACCATTGAGGAATCCACAAAGGTATGAAATTCAAAATTGTTCAATACATATTCAAGTAATATATAATAATAATAATAATAATAATAATAATAATTAATATCTCAATATATTGCAGAAAATGGAAGAGGTAGAAGGGAAACTGGAAAGCAAGTCAAAGAAAGAACATGCAAGTGCTATAAATCAGGTATAGTTCTGTTAGCACTTAATTCTGACAGTACGTACTTTTTAGTATTTCCAAATGTCTGATATAGTTACTGACAAACAAGACAATATTGAACATGAGTATGTGTCAACGTTGGCAGTAACACATTGTAGGTGATGAGTATTGCCAAATGTCTGATATAGTTACTGACAAACAAGACAGTATTGAAGATGAGTATGTGTCAACGTTGGCAGTAACACAGAGTAGGTGATGAGTATTGTCAAATATTGTATGTACTGACATAGGATGGCAATGATGTTCTACATGCATATGCATCCTATATTGGCAGTAATAGTGTGTAGTTTATATTTAATGGCAAATTAAGTGACATGACAGTACTTGCCAGTAAGTAATGAGAACATTTATGATCTGTTGGCAGTAATGGTATATAAAATATAAAGCGTACTGACACTTGATCAACAGTGCAAAATTATACAGGTTTACCAAGAACCAGAACCTCTAGCTGTGATTTATGGACCTGCAGGTGTAAAAAAGTCCAAAAGGAAACCTAGATCTCCGGAGCGCTACACGCCATCAGAGAGAACTGTGGAGAAAAAGAGAAGGAAGGTTGACAAAGCGAAGAAGAAGGTGCAGGAAAAGTCATTGCCGCAAACACTAGAGCTCAATGGTCCATTTTCTGAAGATCCAAAGCATATGCCAGAGAAGAATCAGGTTGATAAAGTGGCAGCTTATTTAAGAGTTGGATTGCTGAAAAACAGAAAGCGTGGTACAGGCTCTGTAAAATATAAGAAACATGATGAAAACATGCATGGAAAGCCATTCCTGTTGGACTGCATGACTATTGATTCAAAGACATGGTTGTATGAGCTGTTTACCAACCCAGAATGGTTACGCGATACGGTATGTTTTAATTCAAATATTCAATGATATATCCATCAATTAATTACTTAAATTCTGATCATTTGTGAAAATGTACTCTAACAACTATGTAAACATTTTATTCAACAGCATATAGAAGTGGGAATGTATTACTTAAAATACAAAGCTGAGCAGTACAAGCTCCCTCAAAAGTTGACCACAACAAGCCCCTTTTTTGTTGCCCACTTAAAGACAGAGAATGATAAAGTTGCAAAAAAGAAGATCACTGTGGACGAGGCTGCAGATGATGATGCTATAATGACTGAAATCTTAGGAAGTAGAGAAGATGTCTCTAGTGCATGGTCTGAAGTAGATTTCGTCTACATGCCAGTGAACAATGGAAACCACTGGGTGTTAGTGGTTCTTGATTTACAAAGCAGGATGATGAGGGTTTATAACTCTAAATGCAGAAGAGGAGAGTCCCTGAGAGATATTGGCGAATTTCTACAAGGCTTGACAAGTCTACTGCCAAAAATCTTGGACAAGTATGGTGTGTATGATGGAATTGGTGGTGGAGATATGGGTGAAAAACAATTTCAGATTGAAGGTGTAGAAAATTGTCCCCAACAGAATGACAGGTATGATAAGCAATAGTTATTCAATTTTCACAACTATTTATTCACTATTTAAAATAATATTTGTTATATATTATTCTAATCAACTGTTATTTGTCTTGTAATATAGTGGAAACTGTGGAATGTTCTTGCTAAAGTTTGCGGAATTCTTGATGATGGGAAGGGACATCAACGAAATCAAACCTGAAGACATGCCTATGTACAGGAAGAAAATGGCAACGGAGTTAATGATGTACAATGAAAGAAGGACAAAGGATTCAGTGAAATAAGCAACAAGATGGACTTGCTTATATGTAATACTGTGGGATAATTGACTTAGTAATCACAATATGGCCGTTTGAAACACTTTCTTTTTAATGTTTAGCACACATGACAATGGGGTACTGATGTATTTTGCTTAAATTGTATTTGGCTAATATCTTGACATTGCTACTTATATTTGGAATGTATTTACGATGCTGATGCACTTTTGTTGATATTGGGACATATGTAATGCTATTCTTTTAAAAGGATATATGTGTCCTAAATAGGATTACTACTGCCATTGATGAATGTCAAGTAATGCCTAAAGTTGAAAGTAAATACTGTCATCCTACTTCCATTTAAAATACGAAGTACTGCAATTATTTGGAAGTAATAACTAAAATATGGAGTAATACTGTCATCGTACTGCCATCGTGAATACGTTGTACTGCAATCACTTTGAATTCATGAATTTAGGTGACAGTTAATACTATCATCATATTGCTATATGATGGCAGTATCTACTCACAGAGTGAATACTGACATTAAATATATTCTATACTCCACCATACAGGCAGTATTAAGGAAGTTTTTATTAAAGTTAATATTATATACTGACATTATGAATAAAGTAATAAGTTTATAGAGAAATAATGACAGATATTGCATTTGATGCCAATACTAGTTGGCAGTATTTAATTAATTCATACTGGCAATATTAGGCAGTAATATTTTCAACAGGTGCATGAAATGACAGTACCTTTAAGAATGATATCTCAGGAAACAAAATACCATATATTCAATGTTCAATATTCAATATAATGAAATATAAGAACCACAACAGTGTGTAATAAATGTATCTCAATCTTCACATAGGAATGAAAATGTAACCAAAACTAAAATTAGAATTAAAAGGAAATACAGTACGAAACAGCTTCTTAAGAATGAATTGTAAGTGCATTCTTGCAGCTTTTTTTGTTATGCCCAGCAGAATGGCAACGAGAACACTTTTGCCGTTTGGTTGCACGGAATTCACCAACTGATGGTATCCTTTTTGTTTTTGGTCGACCAGCTTGTCTTTTAGAACATGAAGGTGGCTTGCAAACAATACTTTGAACATGAGGTGGAACTATCCAAGAAGATACATCACCAATTGGATGCTGCACCCCACTATAGGTATTCAATACAGACTGTCTCGTATAATAATATGATATATAATCATAGCAGGAAACACCAGCGCGTGTGCCTATGGCAGCTACAGCATGTACACAAACAAAATGCTCTAATTGAAACATACGGCACGTGCATGTTCGGTCATTGAGATTGACAATAAAAGATCTACGAAGTCTATCAACAACTTCAAACTCATAACGGCATGACGGTTTAACCTGAAAAATTAAGGTTAATGAAAGATGTGAATTATAGATAGAACAATACAGTCAATACAACACAAGGATAAACTAGAACATGGCAGTACAATAGAAATGTGAATGAAACACTGTCACATTCATGTAATAATGTGACAGTATACACTTGCCAGTAACTAAATCAAAAAGTGAAACACAGAGAAAATGAGATTGTTACCCTCATCCTTGAAGCATCCCTCTGCAATGAAACTAAATGTTTCTCAAACTTTAGAGTCAAATGAGTAGTTGATGAAGTTGCATCTTCTAGCCGCTCCGCAAACCATGTTTGCATTCTTTCTCGGATAAAATCCAAAAGCTTAGCGACAGGGTACTCTCTTGCATTAGCATCCATGCTGTTCATGGCCTCTGCACAGTTAGAGGTCATAACACCCCATCGACTCTTAACTGCCATGCTTCGAGCCCACTTTTCCGTTCCAATCTTCTCTAGCCACGGACGAATCCTAGCATCTTCCTCATCCAACATGGACAAATATTGATAGCATTCATTCACAGTTGCAGCCTCCCATGCAGCTTTAAATTTCCAACCATGGTTGGATGACTTACCTCGAAATTTGGATCTCATATTACGCCGCAGATGTTCACAACAATATCCATGGGAAGCGTGTGGAAAGATGGCCTTTGCAGCTTTGATAATACCTTTATGTCTATCTGACACAATGTACATGTCATCACGATGTTTAAGGCACTCTTTGAGCCTTGTAAAGAACCACTTCCAGGACGCAGTGCTCTCAGAATCACATACAGCAAACGCTAAAGGCACAATCTGTTTGTTTGCATCTTGGCTACATGCGGTAAGTAATGTCCCTTTGTAGTACGCCTTCATAAAAGAACCATCGATAATAAGAACAGGAATGCAATGCTCCCATGCTCTCTTCCATGGTGCAAGTGACATGAACAAATAGCGAAACACATCATTATCCCCTCTAATGAGCAACACGTCAGATCCTTGATTAGCTTGGTCTAGCATATGGAGCATAGACGGCAACAATTGGTATGCCTCTGAATCTGAACCAAATTGTTTTCTCATGGCAGATTTCTTTGCAGCCCAAGACTTCTTGTATGATATCGGTATTCCATACTGCAACAACAAATCATCCCTGATTTGTTTAGGTGTATATGGTTTTTTGGAAGCATCCATATATTGCTGAGCTACAAGCTCAGCAATCATTGCAGAAGTGGCCTGCCTGTGACGAACACCTTGCCTAAAGTCTATTGAGCAAGTGTGATCAACATCAAACCTATATGTAAAGAACAATGAATAAATATAAACTGATGCATATAAAAGTACGGGAGAAGGTACATGCGTTGCAGTAATTGTTGACAATACATGAACACAATGAAAATAATATAAACACAGGTGGAAGAACGTAGGAGATGACAGTATACATGCTTGGAAATACAAGGTGTGCAGTGACAGTACTCTTAAGCAATGAAACTTTGAAATAGGAAACACATAATGCAAGATTCTTAAAATACATCAGAAAAAACTACAAAAATATGAATGAATTAAGAATTATACCTTCTAATTTGAAAAAGCTGAACACCTTTGAGCCTAACAGCACGAACAGCCCATTTACAATTTTCTTTGTCCAAACACATCACATGCAATGAATGCTTCTTTGAAGTCTTTGAATAAAATTGGAAGCTATTATTGATCGCGTACATTCTAAGGTGATAAAGTAGAGCTTGCTTGTTCTCGTATATACCATGGAGCACAATCTTAGTAGCAGAATAACGTGTAATGACATCACAGTTTTGGTCTAACACAAATGCATGTGAAGAATGACTTTCTAAATTTTCAGAAGAAGAAGAAAGTGAGTCCTCATCAAGGGAATCCTCATTCAAAAATTCAGGAAGTACACCACTGCATGAACTGTTTACTTCAAAGTTATTTTTATTCAAGGAAACACTCAACTGATCGACATAAAAGGAAGATGTGGATGAAAGAACATTATCAAAACTAATTTCAGGAGTACGGGAAGATATTTCAGGATGCAAGTATTGTTCTAGAGAATGGACAACAGTGAAACCGGTATTTCCATTGCACAGATCAACATTAGAACAAGGTGCAGGTGTGACCAAAGTATTTGGAGTAGAAACAGGTAAAACAGGATCATAACTAGGTAGTTCCTCATTGTCAAATTGTATACACAGAGGATACTTTGAGAAATCTGATTGAAGAATCTTAAGATCAATATAAAAGCGTAAACTAGCATCATCATTGACTCTAACAGGTGGAGGACAGGATTCAACAAGGTATGATATGGTGAAACGTGGATTGCATTTGATTTGATCAATACTGCCATTCAGGATGTCTAAGAGTGATGAATATGTGCAAGAATATGGGACATGAATACCTAATGTCGCTTTGTTCACGAAGACAAAGTCAGCCCCCCATATACCATCCAACTTGACCATTATAAGCAAAACACGATCCATTACAGCGATTACAATATATGAGAACACTGCAAAAACGAATTGATGAATCTTAGAACATTAATGAGATCGGAACAAATTAGAGAACTTATAAAAAAATGATACAGGATGCATTAGAACACTTCCAAAACAGGAAAAACAAACTGAAATTCATCGAAATCGAATGAGCAAAATAGGCGAAAATAAAAAAATTGAATAATCGGACAGAATACCTGGTAAAAAAGTTGACCTCGAGCAGAAAATTTGAGAACAATTCAAACGTTTTCCGATCTAAAGCTTCAATAAATTAAGACTGTTTGGTTCGAAACCCTTATCTGAAGTGATTTGCCATCCTCACGAAGCTCACTTTTAGAGTTGCCATGATCTTTCGAACGAGAACTTGCAGAGGCAGCGTAGAAAGAAGAGGACGAGAGAACTGAGATTCGTTAAGATTAGATGGGTAATCGGATGTTAGGCGAGAAAGAAGAGGGGTATTTTAGGAATGAAAATATCTTATGTTTTTAATAAGGAGCACCGGGGTCCCATTTTTAGAAATAAAGTCAAAGAGTTCCATTTTGGAATTAGGAAAGCTAATTAGTCCCATTTAGGGTAAATTCCCTTTTCTATTATTTCGAATTTACGATACACATGAAGAGTACAATTGTTTAGGGACACAAACTCCACAACACCTTAATTACGCGAAGATCCCAAGTGAAATACATTAGGGGCTTTCCCACCTTAATTCGTTTTCAAAAATGCTTCTTGTACACACATTAGTACACATCCTTATACACACTATAAAAGGACTTTATTTTTTTACCTCCATCCCATTTTTTTACCCTTTCTCTTCTCACTCCATTATCTCACATCCCTTCTCCCCTACGCCCTGCTCCGCTCACCCCCCCTTCTCTCATTCTTCTTTTTACTTCCTTCTCATTCCACTTTGATTCTCCCTTTCCAAATCCTAGAAAAAAACTTTTAGGTGGTCACCTCTCTTCAAATCCGAGCCCATAAGCGACGAGTATGCAGCTGGAAGTCGAGAAGGAGACCGATGATTTTCCCCATCAACCAGCCCACAAATTGAGGTAATACCCTATTCGATTTTTCTATTGCACTTTAGGGTTTTGTTTATTTAAAATATATGATGATTTGTGTGTAAACATTGATTTGTTGAATATTTTGTATGATCGTAAGAGAATGTAGGGTTAACTATTGAAATTTTTAATTCAATTACTCTATTTCACAAGTATGCACATAACATGTTTGTTGAAATTACTCAATGATTTTCTTTTGTTTAAATCCAAGTCGTTTACTCTCCTTTTTTTGTGACTGGTCTTTTTTGTTAATTAGTTCAAGATTCTAATTTTCTTGTTTCCCAATTTGATTAATGATATAGTTGTTTTTATTGACTATTATATTTGCCTATTATGCTTTTACTAGTTATAAAAAAATATATGTTTTTACTAGTTTTTTGTTGCAGGTTGCTTCAAATAAGTTGAAGAGAGAGTGGCTAGAATTTTGCATTTTTGTAGATATGTAATAACCAATCTCAGGAGACCTTTCTAAGTAGCAGTAGTTGTCATATGCTTCCTGTTTTTAGGACCTTGTGAACCCAAATTAAAATACTAGAGTATAACCTGAATAGACTACAAGTACTATGAACATTTGAATAGACTGGATTACCAGTTAGAAATCACTAATAATTGTCAAGTTGATCTTTGTGTGGGGTTACTTTATTGTCATAACCTTTTAACAATCAGTTACATACGTGTAGTTATTAAAAAAATAAAAATATTTGTACCTTAACACTATTTATGAAGGGGATAGAACCACTTTATCATCTAAACTCTAAAAATTTTAAATTGGAAACATGTTCAAAGATTAAAACACTTAAAGCATGTATGTTTTATCTCATATTGAATGTATGAAAATGTCAAATATTGGACGTTACTTTACTCATGAAATATATTTTGCAGGTCTGATTGTTGATCAAATATTCAAATTGTTGATTTAACATTTAAGCCCAAGTTTGAGACGGTGAGATCGGATGAAGCAGTGAATGGGAACTATGGAAATGTTATTGCTATTAATCTTGTCACTGATCTTTTGTATTGGACATGTATTAGTATTTAGTGGTGTTGGGTTGGATAAGTGAAGTGTTAGTAATTGTATGGATGCAATAAAAAGTGTCTTGTAATTGTAAGTTGTTTTGTTTGGCTGCAGTGGTGTCTGTGAACCAGATATGAATTGTCTGGTCACAGGCAATAGTCACTTACATAAACTAATAAGTTGAGAGGAATTGTGTTTGAACCAGATATGAAGTGACTTCTCATGATTTTCTATCCCAATTGAAATTCTGAGAAAGTGTATGTCTCTATTTATATTGTCTATGTTTTTATATACTCCCTCCGTCCCAGGGAGAAGTTCCCGGGTTGACTTTCACACATATTTAGGAAATAAAGTTACTGAGGGGTAAATTTTACTGTTTGACACTGTTTCGACACTGTTTGGCACTGTTTCGACACTGTTTGGCACTGTTTTGCACTGTTTGACACTGTTTTGATGTAGGATAACTTTCCATTTAGGGAAATGGGAACTTTTTGTTGGGACTACCAAAAAAGGAAAGTGGGAACTTCTCCCTGGGACGGAGGGAGTATTATCTTTGTGTGATTAAAACATTGTTGGTGTATTCGATATGTGTGTTCGTTTATTTTGTCTATGTAGAATATAATATAATTGTCTGTGTGTTTATTTATATTGTGTGTGCGTGGTGAAAACGTTGTTAGTGTGTTTATTTATTTTATTTAGGGCTGGACTCGGGCCGGTTCGGGCCCGGTTCGGGCCTGGGCCCGGCCGGGCCTCGGGCCAGGAAAGGGGAGGCCCGAGCCCGAACCGCTGGTGGCCGGTTCCGGTTCCGGGCCAAACCGGGCCGGGCCGGGCCGAACCGGCCCAATTAATTTTTTTTTGTTCTCCTATTTAATCCCCTACCCCTCCCCCTCAACCCCAAACCATCCCAAACCACCTCAAATGGCCCAAAATACCTAATCCAACCTAAAACTTAAAAAAATTCAAAAAAAAAAAATTAAAATCCGGCCCGGACCGGGCCCGAACCGGCCGGGCCGGTTCACCAAAACCTGGGCCCGAGCCCGGACCGCCCAGCACCCGGGCCGGGCCAAACCGAACCGGTGGACCCACCGGGCCACGGGCCGGGCCGGGCCAAACAGTGACCGGGCCGGTTCGGTCCCGGGTCGGGCCGCCCGGCCCGAGTCCAGCCCTAATTTTATTTGTGGATGAAAAATAAAGGTTTTTTCACAAATATTACCAAAAAATAATTAATGGACAAAAATATTACTCTGTATATAGTTACTATGCAAGTCAATATAGTGGTAGAGTTGAACACAATCATGGTAACTAAAGTTACTATGGTAGTCACTAAATCATATTTTTGTCCACTACTTTTGTTTCGATCATATATTTGTCATTATTTCTAAAAAATAATT